AGGGAAAAAGGAGACATTAAGAAAATATATTGTGTTGTTCTGAACAGCTCTCTCCCCTGGGCAGCCCGCCCTCCTCCCCCGCAGCCTCCCTCTGTTTGCTCACCCATACTTACAAGCACACGCCCTGCGTTTAGAGCAAGAGTTAATGTCTGTGCTTCCTCATAAATCTCAGTTTGGTGCCTCGAGCTATGTTTTTAATTCTGTGGTGGAGCTTTGAGACTTGAGATGAGTAGAAAGGAGGGGCAGCTGATGAAGGCAATAATGGAAGCTGCCATTTCTCCTGGGGACTTGCCTCCTCATTCATGTCTTCTATCAGGTGTTTTAAAGCCTTAGCTCAGCATCTGTGAAGGCCAGGATGGAAGGAGAGTGGGAAGTCAAGTGAAGGAATAGCTATGTTGTACTATGGCTATATTGTACTATGCCAAGGGATGCAATGCTTTGAAGGTTGTAGAATGTGTGGAATGAGCAAATTAGCCCAGACTAGTGACTGTCTGGCATATTTTTCTGGTTCAGCTAAAAATGACTTCAAGGAGAGGAGTCTTTCCCATCGAAAATAATTTATTGTCTTACAAAACTAGTTATCAAAGTAAGTTTTCTCTCCATTCAACTTGGAGTTCCTTTTTTGTGTGGTTCATTTATTTTTCATGATTGGTCCTTTGACACTTGGATGATAGTTTCTTCTGTGTAAACCTCATCTCTTCAACATGCCTTTGCTTTTTGTGGTGTAGAAGGCAAATCTATTCGGCTGCTATGATAGTTTAAAGTAGTAATTGCTTAGGTTTCCACCCTGGCAACAACTGTATTTGAGTAGAATTCTGAGTCTGAGTCACTGAGTAGAACGTGTAATTAGCAAGACTAAAGGAGGAACTCTGATCTTTGAAAATTCTGTTCCTCAGTTTATATATCTATAAAATGAAAGAATTGGAAACACATCTCTTAAAGGGCCTTCCAACTCAGACCGTGTTAGTGATCCTAAAAGTCTCCAACTGTTATAAAGTCTCTTCTTCCACCAAATTCTTATGAATCCTTATGAAGACTTTCCTCTACTTCTAGATCTTTCTGGGAGGTTTCAAAATTTATCAGAAATGAAGGCTACATTGACCTTCTTGCTTCTACTACTGTCAGAATGGAGGCCACATTGAGCTGACTTCCTCAGGATGAAAATGGGAACAAAAAAAAATTATAATAGATGAACTTCTACTTCTATAATGAGATGTATGGGTTTCTATTTGTACCTGTTTGAGGTATGGTAAAGAGATGATAGTAAGATAGGCCCAGAGATCATCAGACCCTGGGATTCCAGAGTTCAGAGATTGAGTCTTACTCATTTCTCTACCTGCAATTCATTTCTCTACTTTCTCCAGCATATTCTAGAAAATATGCTAATTAAATTGTGGAATCGAAGATAGACAACTTACGGCTGTTTCAGGGAATTACCTCTGAGGCTATTTAAAAGATTATTTTTAACCTATTAGAAAAGTTTTATAGAACTATGCTGACTCAGTAAAGAAAAAAAGAGCTGTAGGGATGTTTAAAGCTGACTGGACATCTCTCTAATGGATTTAATTTTAAGCTGGAAATTATATACATTAAAACACTGATAAAGCAGAAGCTAAACATATAAGTATTCTGACACTCAGAATCAGGTGGAGGAAGAGGGATCAGAAGGTGAATAAAAATGTAGAAGATTCCGGAACCTTCTCTGTTCTAGAAATTTGCTTCTCTGGTTTTGTCTAAGTAGCGATGATGGTATTTCTCCTATTCTTTGTTATTCTGTTCCTCTAGTGGTTCTTGAGTTGGTGATCTAATTAAGCCTGGTCTTATTCTTTATCATATTTCCTGTTAACTTCATTTATTTCTACCAAAGAAGTTTTAAAAAATGCTGTAGCAGTTAAATAACATTTAAGTAATATTTTGGTTTTGGCATTTGTTACCTAGGAATGTACCCCTACTTTGATTATCTTGACCATAATAGCTCAGTGAAAAAGATCCATTCTTCTTACCCTGACAATGTAACTTTTTTGTAATTTCCCTCTTCACTCCCAGGGCTACCTTATTTAACTGTAATCTCATAATTGATAATATTAAATATATATAAAAATCTACAGTTCCTTTTGAGACTGAGATTTTCTTTCTGACTTTTACCCAGGATCTCTGGGCAGGCTTTTTGCCCACAGATGATGACAGTCTCCTTAGGGCAAATCTTTTAACTCTGTGTTGATTGGAAGGAAGGCTATGTTGTGTAATAGCAGGACCTTCACTTGGAATGTATTTTGTAATGATAGCTCAGAATGGTGAAACGACCCCTAAGTGAAGTCTTGGGAGACCAGAGCTCTCAAGAGCCCATTTCTGTGTGTGGTGATGCTTCAGGAAAGCCCTAATCCTTCTGTGTCAGTTTTCTCATCTCCAGAAAGAAGGCACTGGGCTTTAGCTTCTAAGAGCCCTTCTAGCTCTGACATTCTCTAGTTTATAAACATTTAAATGCTTTTCCATCATATGGTGGCTGATTTGTGTCTGGTAGGTGCTAAAGTTCCCTAGGAATTGTGGGACAATGCTCGATATGCTTTTTGGTAGAGGGTGTGTTCAGGGGGCTAATCTGATACCTATAAGCTGAAGCCATAACCCAGAGACTTCTTTTAGATCTTGTATGTCCTTAACTGGAAGAATGTGAGAAGCATCATGACCATAGCTGTCTATACCATTTACACAGTTACTAAGGTCATGAGATGTCACATGCCATGATGGAAACATGCCAAAGAACATATAGTAAAACTGAGATTCAGAAAATGAAACTAGCTTATTCATAGGCACACAGCATTAAGTGTCAGAACCAAGACTCTTCTAACACAAGACTACCTGACATACTGTTCTTTGCATTTTTCACTTCACTTTGTTACCTCATATGATATCTTTCATGGTGAGCACAAGTAACTAATAAAGCACTTCTGGTCATAAAGACATCTGTATTCTCCACCCTTTGTCCTAATGGCATTTGACAGAAGAAAAGATGATAGATTTTCATAGACCTCCGGTACTTAAGTCTTTGCTCAGAAGCACTGCCTTAGTTGTACCTTTGGAGAGACTTCTTAGTTGTAGATTTATCTTCTCAGCTATCACCAGTGGAGCTTAGGAGAGAAAGTTTGCTGAACTCGTATATTTAGAAGTATGCTACATCTCTGAGAAATGTCATTGCCATGCTTAAATTGATTGGTTATTTAGAAATAGGGTCCCTCTTGAACTTCATGCTTAAACTTCATTTGAGGTTTCCCTAAGGTAAAAGAATATAGAACATACTTATTAGAGAAACTATCTTGGCAGATTTTCATTGCCTTTGGATAAAAGCAAAATCGCACCCAGCACATAAATTGACATATGAAGCAGTAAATAATTCCATTGTGCAAGTTGTTTTAATGGATTAAAGCCAGAATGCTCCATTAACAAGCATGCATAGAATATTCACGGAGTTTAGAGTTTATTGCCAGATAAGGGGAAGGAAGGAAGGAAGGAAGGAAGGAAGGAAGGAAGGAAGAAAGAAAGAAAGAAAGAAAGAAAGAAAGAAAGAAAGAAAGAAAGAAAGAAAGAAAGAAAGAAAGAAAGAAAAAGAAAACAGAATGAAGGAACATATGAAGAGGGTGATAAATATCAGCATAGCAGCTGGGAAAGTGAGAGGTTAGAAAGCGTACTTTAGAAGTATGTACAATATGTTTCTTTCCTCTTTTCTTCTTCTTTTTTGTTTTTTCTTTCTGGTGGAAGGATTAAGTATAAGAAAGGTTCGGTGTCAGCTTTCAAACATAATGATCAAAAATCCGAGAACTGGGCAGTAGAATGTGCCAGGCTCTTTTCTTACTTTCCTTTTGAAAGAAGAATCTCAGAGATCAGCCAATAGGGGAGAGGGGTGGCATATGTATATGTGTGAGATTGTGTTTATACACATATCTACTTGGATAAACATTCAGAAGCCACAATAGCATTCCCAAAGGAATTCTTCCTTAATACAGGAAGTGACAGCTTTGTGAAGGCACCACAATTAAGCTCCGGGTTTTTAATTCTAGATCCCAGGATTTAATTTCTAGAAGAAATGAGAGCTCTATGATGTTCTATGGGGCTGTTTAGAATTACAGGCAACTTAATTTTAAAGCTTATTAAATGCAAAGCACCTGAGCTTGGTTTAACCTCCAGGGATCTCTTTGCATTCAGAGATGTCTAAAACCACAAACCATAAATTCTGATGGACACGTGTAAAAGAAGAGACCACAGGAATTACAGTTTTGTTATTCAACATGGCCACACTCTCCTGCCACAACTTCCCTCCTATCACTCCCAAGCTTCCTCTTGCTTTGTATTTAGGTTTACCAGATGACCAGGCCAGGGCTATTCCAGACAGTATGTAAAAAGGCAGGCACAATTCTTTTATGAGCTTTGATATGTTTGTTGCTGCAGCTTTGCTGGATGGGATATGTGCAGAGAATAAAGAACCATGAGATATAAAAGCTGAAGTGGCAGGCATGTTGAATTCATCATCATCACTCTAAAGGATCTTATATACGCAACTATCCTTAATGTTCTGTGTCTCTTCTCAGTCATTTTCTGCTTGTGTTTATGACTGTCATTTCCCTTCTCCTTGAAACTGTCTGCCTCCTCAGCACCTCCAGTTCCTGTCCCACCACTTTGAATTATCCTCTCCCTTTCTCTTTTAACCCTTACCATCAGAATATTGGCATGTGGTCAATATTGCTATTTCCAGCCCTGGCCTGTCCTCAGCACCAGAGTCACACTTCCAACTAGGCATTTCCACACAGGAATCTCAACAACACCTGGAACTCATGATGTTTGGAACTGAATTTATCCTTTTATTCTTACCTCCTAAATGTCTGAACAATCAATAAGTAGGCTGCCACTTAGCATTATTTAAAGGCTGACTGAGACATTACATAACTTTCCCATACTTTTTGTTTTAATCTAGTGGAAATGGCTAATCTAAAGGAAACTCCTTTTTATAGGAGACAAGGAGAAGGCCTTAGGATCTACTGGGGGAGTCTGGAACAGCAGTCCCTCTTTTCCCGCTGGAACCCGTGGTCCACTGAAGTGCCTTATGCGACCTTCACTGAGCACCCTATGAAATACACCAGTGAGAAGTTCCTCGAAATTTGTAAGGTAGGCAGTTTGGGCATCACTCCTGGATTAACTTTGGTGTTGAAGCTGTATCTGTATGCTCCTAAGACATGTACTGTTCCAAAAAAAAAAAAAAAAAAAAAGGTAAGATACAACCTTGGATTATACAAACTTTGAAAGGTTTATAGATCTCTTTTTTTAGTAAACAATGGAGCAGTTTTAGATATTAAAAAAAACATAATATTTATATTAACCATATTATGATGTTTCCTCCTTGCTTATTTCTTATCAAAAATTGTGTAATATCATTTACAAATTGCAATACTTGTATTTATCTGTTTATTGCCGTCAGGTTACATATAATTTTTTGTATGTAATTAAATTCTAATTATTTTATTCAGAGAAGGAATGTAGGATAATGTGAAGTATAAATTCAGATATGGCTGTTTGGTAATTTTTGTCACTTTCCTTTCTGGACCTTGGTAGTCTCATCCCTAAAATGGACATAAGGATCACTGTCCTTCCTTCTAACTTGATTGGAACACTGTAAGATTAAATGGGATAATGTGTTTATAAAAGCTTCATAAATTGTAAATCAATTAAGAGTACTAATTGAGAGTATTTTTATGTCTTTCAATCTCATCTCCCCAAATAGATTTTAAGTTTATCAGTGGCAGGGTGAGTCCTTCTACTCTTTTTTTTTTATCCTCCCTAGGGAAACTTAGGCAGTACTTGCATACTAAATAGGCAGGAAGTAAAACAATTGGAGCTGTAAATGCAGAGAAAGATTAGACTTTTATATTTTAAACAAAATCCGTATACATATAAGACTGTGCTTATAGACCTAGAAATTCTTGCCATCTCTGGCTTTCCTACGTTTACTTTTATATGCTGTCATTCACTTCTAAATATCACAATTCTCTATTTGCTATAAATTCAAAAATGGCAATATACATCTAAAGTCCTGTGGGTGGATGGCATGCATGGCATTGCCTGCATTATTTTCAACAATTCATGCAAGTATGTATATGTTATAAAAATAGTTTTAATTGATAAATCCCCTATTTTAAAAGGGATTTGAGGCAAAATAGATGTGATTAAAGGGTAGACGAGTCTTTATTCTCCCTAATATATAGGTGGAGTTGGCTTAAATCCCTTCTGCTCTCAGAAAGGTCAATGGTCTTTTCAAGATTCATGCAAATATCCTCAGGGGTTTATGGACTCGTGGGTTTACCTCCGGCTTATTTCAGGCACTAAGATAGTTCATTGTGTGGATCCTGTGGTAGCCCAGTTTTACAATGTTGCAACCCAAGCTTCCACATCAGCCCCGAATCTGACTCTACCACCCAAAAGCAACAGAACAAAACAAAATGAGAGCAACAAAAGCACTTAAACAAGGCCCTGATGTGAGAGTAGACTTGCTGAGGTCTTCAGGGAGATGGAATGGGAATTTACACCATAATAATTGGTCCGGACTTCACAGGGATATCAGTTCTCCCTATTTTAAAAATTCTTATTAAAAGTAATACTCTGATACGTTGCTTCATAATCCTCTTTCCTCTCCTCTGAATCTTGTCTTGCTTCTCTGCAAACGTGTGCCCTTCCTCTTCCCCTTCTTCTTTCTCTTCTTTTTTTCTTTCTCCTCCTCCTCTTCTTCCTTTGCCTTCTCCTTCCCCTTCTCCTCCTTCTTTTCTTTCTATTAACAGTTCAGAGTATTTTATCGTTTCTTTTTTTCTTTTTAACACCTGCTAATTCGACCCAAAATGCTTAGTAATGTATTTTTCCAAAGCCATTTCCCACCTTTAAAGGAAGTCTAGTTCTGGTCATTAAAACAATATGTATTTTTGCATTAATAGTCATTGTATTTTATTGTAAGTTAAAACAAATACCAACTGCCTTGGTTATTACATCCATCACTTCATGAGCCAAATCTCTTTTTCCTCATACCTGAAGCATTAAGTCCTTACTCCCTGAGTATCCTTTGCTGGAAAACGTTCAGGGTAAGGAATTAAAGAATAAGTTCTATTAATTGCAGAGAAATGGTGCTGCATTACTCTAATTCTTGATGGTACTTTATTATGATACATATATGTACAATCAAATAATTTTAAAAGGAAGATCAGAAGTAAAATGTCAAAAGGGGAACAGAATAATTTTTTCCTAAATACTGTGATTGTGGTTAGTAGAATGGAATATTAATTTTATACAAGCTTTCCTATAAGTCAAGGTGAAAAGGAAAACTCAGTGTTTATTTTACATAGCTCTTATTGAATGGGAGTAAGAATAACAGGTGTGCTTGTGTGCACACCAGCACACATGTATGTATGTGAGTATAATGCATGGCTGTTAGTTGGTTGGTTGATTTTCAATCAAATTATTTTGTGGGTCTGTTAAGTGTATTTCCTTTATGACTTTTCTCTTTAAACTATTCTTCCAAAGCTTTTTTTTTTTTTCTTTTTTTAATTTCCTGGCAACAGTCTGGCACTTTTCATTTGCCAAACTATTTCTTATTCAAAGGCCACCCCAAGTCCCAACTCTCTATGAAAACAAGTGATCTCCATCTGTGATGTGAGATGATGAGTACTCTAATCCAGTCTTAATTTCTCTTTTGTTGTTGGTTTTTATGTCACAATATTATTTGTGTTTAGGATATTTTCCAAGGTTGGCTCTGATTAATACTCAGTTATATTAATGTAAAAGAGTAAATAAGAAGAAAGATAATTCTGAGGACATAGAATTCTTTTATGTATTTTGGCACAACATAAAAATTTAAAAGGATGATATAAACTAGTTTTTCCATTCCCCTATAAATGAAATGAGAAAAGTAGAAAAATAGGGGTAAAATGTATAACTAAATCAAATACGTGAAGCAATTTAATTCAATTTGTCAAATCTATTATGGCACAGGAAAAGGAATTCTGTAGAGCTGGGTTACACATAGTCAAAATTTTTAAATGATTTACAATATAATGGAAAACTTATTTAAAAAAATACATTTAAAAAATCCCAATTTATTCTTACTCAGAGTCTTTTCTTGTATAGCACATGCTATTTATTTATTAAACAATTATTTTCTGACACCCACAAAGTACAGGTATTATTATTGTTCAGGATACAAACAAAAACGAGACAAGATTCATGTCTTTGTGGAAGGCATTGCTTAACAAAGGAAGTAGATAAAAATGCAAAGATTTTTAAATGAGTGCTAAATTGACTAGAACAGAAGTTTAGGTGAAATGAAGAGGGATAGAGGCACATGAAGGTACAAGGAATGTTCTTAAACACAGAATAATTTATTTTAGCTGGAGTTCAATCTTACATATTCCCTATCATGATTGCAATGGCTCAAATAATAGGTTTAAGTGCTTAAGTTAAGGGCAGTAGGAATGGAGAGAAGTTAAAAAAAATTTTGAGACATTTAAGACAAAGAATTAATGGAAGCAGATAACTTACAGGATATAGTAGGTGGAGGAGAGAGCGAGGTGGAAGATAATGTGGTTTCTGGCGTCGGTAGATGGTGATTCCATTAATTTGAATGAGGAAAAGTGAAAGGAGAGTAGGTTTGGAGGTCCATTTTAGAACATGTTGAGTTTGACACATCCATGAAACATGAGGTTCAGCTTGTTGTCAGGAAGTTAGAACTTTAGACCTGAAGCTCAGGAGAAAAAAAACTAAACTGGTGAGAGGGATTTTAGATCATAGAACTCTGGGTCAAAGCTGAGTCATGGGCTTGGTTGGTCAGGCAGGTACCATAGGAAAGAGCATAATAGACACATTAATTTCAAATTCAAATTTATATTACCTCTAATTCTCTTAACACTGATCTAAAAAATGACTATAGAAATTATCAAAATAGCATCAAAATATATCATTTTTCTTGCATTCATCTCACTAACTCTGTAGCATTCTACATCTGGCTAATATGATGGTCGAATGGCCTTTTTCCAGACATTCTTGCTTATCTCTGAGCCTCACCAACTTGTTCTAATCTGTTTATGCATATACTTTGCATTACTCATAAAAAACAATTGTGAAAATAGGAAATAACTTTTTGGCATTATTTTCTTGTTACAAGACATAAAAATAATCTCATGTAGTATTATGTAATAGATTATATTTATTGATTACAGTTTGCATGTTTTCATGTAATTCAAGTAACAAAAACCCTGTGACGTCAAGATAGCTATCTCTATGTTTAAAATGAAGGTACTTAGAGTGATTAAGTGAATTGACTAAGGAATTACGATAAAATAGCGTTATTTCTACACCTAAGCAATTTGTTAATAAGCAGGGAAATGGGTATAAACCTGAAGAAACTCTGTGTGATGTAATGTGATATATTATACTTATGATAGGACTCAATTATCCTGAATTGTTTAGTCCACTTTCTGTTTGTAATTTGGAGTCTCATCTCCCCTGTTTTAAACGTAGCCTTCCTGAGTTCTTGGATGTGTGGACAGTCTTGGTGGGAGGAACTAATGGCTGAGCCCAGAGCTGGTGAATAATAGTGAATGGGAATTAATGCTCTATAGACAAATCAAAGGGATTTACAGGCCAATCCTTTTTATTCTTTTCTGGCATATTTACTCTTCTTTTCAAGGGAATTATGAAAGTGGACCGATCAATGTTTTAGCAATCACAATATAACTTTACATCCTTAACTCCTTAGCTCTGCTTCACATCAATTTGACAAATATTCATTGAATATCCACCTGGCATTGAATACTACATGCTGAGCAGTGTGCTAGTAAGCTGGGATATGGGGAAGAATACAACAGATTTTGCCCTCCAGACACTTACCAAGTAACGGGAGAAAACAAAAAAGTAATTAACAAATTATACTTTAATATGCTAAGACTGTTAATAGAGGGCTTCACAAGTTTCTATAGGAGCCCAGAAGAGGGAACAAGTAAGTCCAAAAGCTAATGGGTATGATGACATTTGAAGTGAAATTCAAAGTATGAGTGATTTAAGCATCAAAGGATTTGGGAAAAGACATTTTAAATAAAAGGAAGATGGTTGGTACCTGGAAATTACCAAAG